AAACTGGGAAAATTATTCACAGCACCAGCAGATGAGCACAAAAAGAAAGGTATTGCAATATATGTGAGAGATGATTTAAAAGCAGAGTTAATCTGGGCGGATCCTGAAGGAAGAACCCTGGTGGTACAAACTTCAATTAATGGCATTACATTTTTACTGGTAGTAATCTATGCCCCAAATGATGATCAAGGTAAATTTTTCAAACATCTTCACCAAAAAATAATAGATTTCGGAAATGGCAATATTTTTCTGATTGGCGATTTTAACTCTATTGCTGACTACCGGAAGGATCATAGTAACATGAGTAAGAATAAAAAAGGAAAAAGAGAATTTTCGAAGCCATGTAAGGATATGATGTACGAACTGAATCTGGTAGATATTTGGAGAAAACTAAACCCAAAAAAAGAACAGTTTACCTTTTACTCTAACCCACACAAAATTTGGACAAGAATAGATATGGCTTGGATAAATGGTGAATTAATTAATGAAATCAAAGATAGCGAAATCTTACCAAATGACTGGGCTGATCACAACCCAATTCAAATAACCTGGAGAGGTAGAAGAAAACCAAAAAGAAGATGGACTCTTAACACTCACTTAATAAAAGAAGAAGAATACACTAATAAATTGAAAGAAGAACTGAACTTCTTCTTAAAAGAAAATAATAATGATCTAACTTCGAAACAAAATATATGGGACACAATGAAGGCATTTATAAGAGGAACAACTATCTCTTACAATGCTATGAGAAATAAAAGAAAGTATGCCCAACAAAGTAACTTACAACAAGAAATTAAGGATTTAGAAACCCAACTACAAAAGAACCCCAAAAATCAAAGAATACAGAATCAGTTAATAACAACTAAACACAATCTAAATTTATTGGAACAAGAAAAATTAGAGAGTAGTCTGAAAATGACTAAACAAATTTATTTTGAGCACGCAAACAAGCCAGGGAGATGGTTAGCCCACAAACTTAAGAAAATGAAAGAAAAAAGATTGATACACCAATTAATGGACGAGAGGGGCAATTTGCAAGAGGAGATAGAGAAGAAAAAAGAGATCACTTTTAAATACTTCAGGAAATTATACAAAAAGGAAGACGTTTGTGAGGACAAAATAATGAAATATCTAGAGGAAGCAAATGAAAAAGCAATTGGAGAGGAAGAGATAGAATTATTAAACAAAAATATAACATGGTCCGAACTGAAGTCAGCAATAGAGAAGCAAAGTAACAATAAAGCGCCAGGACCGGATGGGATACCTGTAGAACTTTACAAAACAATTATAGAACAAATTGGACCACTGATGCTGGAAGTATTCAATGAGGTACTCCTAGTAGCCAAGATGCCGGACTCGTGGAGGGGAGCCTTAATTTCGCTGATCCCGAAGGAGGACCTAGACCATAGACTTATTAATAATTATAGACCAATCTTGCTCCTGAATGCAGATTACAAACTATTCTCTTCTATAATAGCTAATAGACTAAAACAGGTTCTAAACACACATATCCATGAAGATCAAAATGGATTTCTCCCATTTCGACAAATTAAGAATAATCTAAGAACAGTGATAGACATTTCAGAATACTACGAAGCCCATCCGGAAAAACAATTTGCTTTTATGTTTTTGGACGCTGAAAAAGCATTCGACAATTTAAATTGGCATTTTTTAATTCAAAAAATATACAATATGAACCTTGGCACTAGATTCGAAAACGTCGTCACTACAATTTACCATACCCAACAGGCAAATATTCTAATAAATGGGGAACAAACTGACCCGATAAAAATAGAAAAAGGGGTCAGACAGGGTTGCCCTCTCTCTCCTCTGCTTTTCATATTCGCCCTAGAATCTCTTTTGACGTATATTAGGCAAAATTCGAGAATTAGAGGACTGAGGATTAAATCAGAAGAGTACAAAGTACAAGCCTTCGCTGATGATTTGGTTTTTTTTCTGGAGGAGCCTATAGAAAAAGGACATAACTTATTAGAAGAACTAGAACGATTTGGAGAAGTCGCAGGATTTAAAATTAATAGGGGTAAAACGAAATTAATGTCTAAAAATTTAACAGGAGACCAGAATAAAGAACTAGAGACAATAATGGGAATACAGGTGACAAAAAAAATTAAATACTTAGGAATTTGGCTTACTCCACAAAGCAAATCATTAAAAGAAAACAACTATGACAAACTTCTCCAACAATCCAAGAAAGATTTAGATTCCTGGAGTACATTACAACTTTCCTTATTGGCAGGATTGCTCTGATTAAGATGAATATTCTGCCAAAATTTCTATATCTATTCCAGACAATTCCAATCAAATTAAATAAAAATTTTTTTACGGAATTAAACAAGATAACACTGAAATTTATTTGGCAGGGGAAAAAAGCTAGGATTAATGTAAAAGCCCTACAAGATTTGAAAAGCAGAGGAGGGTTAGGCCTGCCAAACTGGGAAGTATATTACAAGGCAGCCACCCTACTATGGATAAAGGAATGGGTGAATTTAACTAACAAAAGAACACTAATATTAGAAGGCCACGATATGCAGAAAGGATGGCATGCCTTTCTGTGGGAAACTGGGAAACCCAGGCAATCATATTTCCATAGGCATCTTATCAGGGACTCTCTATTAACCAATTGGAAAAAAGTACGTAAAAAACTTTATCTAAAAATACCGATTTGGCTATCTCCAATGGAAGCGATAGTACACCCTAATAATTTGGATATAACTAAAATGATTAAGTACGAAAATTTATTAGACCCACAAGGAAAATTGAAAACCCGACAAGAATTACAAGAGCGAGGATTTAAAATTGATCAGTGGGTGTACCTTCAAATTCATAGTAGATATAAACAAGATATTAAGGAATTTGGAATCTACAATAAATTACAGACTTTAGACAAAATTCTATTAGGACCGAGCAAAAAAAATATATCTAAATTTTACAAACATTTATTAGAAACTGAATTAGAACAAGAAATTGTCAAAGGAAATATGATTGCGTGGAGCAGAAACGTGGGACGGAGCATTACGCTAGCAGAATGGGAAAGGATCTGGAACAGGAACATTAAGATCACGAAATCAGCAGCTTATAAAGAAAACGCATATAAAATGTTTTATAGATGGCACCTGCCCCCTTCGAGATTGGCGAAGATGCACCCCAACACGAGCCCCAATTGTTGGAAATGTCAAAGCATAGAAGGTACCTTCTTCCATTTGTGGTGGTCGTGCAAGGAAACCCAGAAGTACTGGCAAAAAATTAGGCGCTGGCTAGAGGAAATAACCAAGGAACAAATAGAGTACAAACCAGAGTCCTTCCTTCTAGGAATTTTCGATAAACAAATACCCAAAAAATCGAAGTATATTGTAATTCATATCTTAACCGCAGCCAGACTGGCATTTGCCCAGTGCTGGAAATTATCTTCCATTCCCTCTGAACATATGGTTATTCAGAAAATTTTACAATGCGCCGAAATGGACAAACTAACCCAAGCACTAAAAAATAAAGAATCCTCATCATATTACAACAATTGGAATCCTTTGTATAATTGGCTAAACCAAAGATAGATCATCTCTAGGAAAATGATGGCCGAGGGCCTCCGAAGCAGAGATAAAGAAAAGCACCGCCGATGATACTTTTGAAGAAGAAAGGATCTTACAGACAGTCACAAAATATGGTTTTATTTTAACTGTTTTCCCTACTCTATTCTTCCCCTCCCTTACTCTTCCCTTTCCCCTCTCTTAGGCTTTCCTCTCTCTCCCTCTTGGTCTATGCCAAGGCCTATTTTTCTTTTTGTTGTACATAATTTGTAGTTGTGTTGTTCTTTTAAAGGTAAAACTAATAAAGTATTTTTCCAAAAAAAAAAAAAAAAAGAAGCGCCATCACCACAGCACCTCCACCGCCTCTGCCCACTTCCTTTCATTTTGCTACCGCTGCCACCTCTGCCACTTTAACCAGGAGCAAAATGAAAGGAAGAGGGCAGAAGCAGCCAGGTCTGCCGCCTCCGCCCGCTTCCTTTCATTTTGCTGCTGCCACCACCACCATTTTTTTCACCATGTCTATGTATACATTTGAACTAGACTGTGATGTTTCTCTGTGTCATATGAGTGTGTGTGTGTGTGCGTGTGTGTGTGTGTGTGTGCGTGCATGCATGGTGTATGCATAATGGTTATCTGTTGAGAGCTGAATGCAACAAAATTTCATTTTAATGTATGCTGATTAATGGATGAGTATTGACAAATGATTATTGTCACTTAACTTGACAGTAAAGTTTAATTTCATTTCTATCCTACTCCATTCCATTCCTTGCTTATCCAGCCCCTCTGGCCTCTGCTGTAAAAGGCGGAGAAGATGCAGGAAGAAGATTTCAGCTCAGAGAACATCTGCTCATCTCAGGTGGACCTTTGGATTGATACCAGAGTCAAACTTAAGCCAAAGAGCAAGTTTCCCTTGAGAACTCATTTGATTTTCACAATTGTTCCCCCATTTCTTTGCAAATCAGTGCTCTGAGAAATCCCCAAAGCACCATTTTCAGATCCTGAGGCCTTAATTGAGATAAATGTATATCTAAAAGTCTACAAAGAATAAATGCTGCATATCCATCACCTGAGTGAGGTGATGAGTGAGACCACACCTCCGAGGGACCCTGCTTGATTTCTTACTTTCTTGCTCCTCATGCTCTCACCCCTTGCCAGAAAAAGTTATTCTGCTCTTCTAGCACCACTTTTCCCCCTACCAGGAATGTTATTTCCAGAATCCCTGGCTCAGGTGGCTTAATTGCCACCTGCTTTGCAAAGTTAGAGAAAGGCTGCAAATTCCTTTCTCTGGCAACATTTGCTTCCTCTTTTATCCACAGAACTGATTGCACCAATTTTTTTTTTACTGTTATGTCATCATTTCTCAGATATGAACCATGAATTTTATTTCCAGCAAATCTCCACCCTCTCCACAACCAATAAAAATAAACATGAGAAATTCTGCCTCTCAGCATGGAGCTAGGGAGGTGCACAAGCTACCCCAACTACTATTGCTTCTCTCATTTGATCCAAGAGCAAAGATGAACAGCTCCCTGGCTACTCTCGCCATCTTCCTGGTTGCTGCTATGTTCTTATCCCAAGCTCAGGCTCAGTTTGGTAAGACTGCTTTTTCTTCTCTTTTTCAGCATCCCACCTGCATTCTGAGGGCAGTTAGGTGGCTCATGGTTAAAATGCTGGACTTGTTGGCCGAAAAGCCAGCAGCTTAGGTTTGAGACCCGAGCACTGAAGTAATGGGGTGAGTTCCCACCCTTGCTGCAGCTGTTGCCAATCTAGCTGTTCGAGAGCATGTAAATAAATAGGTACCACTTTGGTGGGGAGGTAATAGTGCTCTGTGATGTCATGTTGGCCACAGACTGCAGAAATGTCTTCAAACAGTGCTGGCTAAATAGCTTTGAAATGGACATGAGTATCATCCCTACAGATGGCAATGACTAACAGAGTAAAATCCTCAGGGACTCCTTTACCTTTTACCTACATTCAGAGTTATAACCCTTGCCATCTAGGACCGTCCCTGTCCTATTGTTTTTTTTTTTTTCTTATATGTATCCATGTATTCATAACTATGTTTTTACTTATACCTATTATCTTGTAAGCAATTGACAAAGCAGATAAATAAATAAATAAATAAATAAATAAATAAATAAACAAACAAACAAATAAATAAAATATTGGAATGGGTTCTAGGTTTTGCTGAACCATCTCTCCTGAAAATGCAACAAACAATAAGGATAGTTAGGGACAGCCAATGCTGCTCAGGGTGTAAAGTACAACCTCATTTGAAAAGGAAGCTCTGCAGAAGAATTAAGCCATTTGCTTGAGCTGAATTCAAGATGAGGAGGAGAGAGCAACACCCTATCCCAACCACCAGAAGGTGTATGTGGAGAGAATGGACTCTTCCTTTCAGGATTCAAATGGAAATAGGGTGGATGGATATATAACATTTGTCCTTTTTTTACTCTGAAATGTTTTTACAATTATCATAAGCCATTTATTTCAAGGATTTGGGGGGAATACAGTATCAGTTGTAGGCAGTTCAAGGTAGAATTTTTACGAGTTAGTGCTTTGGGGCTCACATAGTCACTATCTAGCTGTAATAGATACATACTAGTAAGAATCCATTCTTTCAGTCTGTTGTTTTGACTACGTAAAGCGGCCTCTTCCAGAGAAGATCCTGAAGTCCTTTGAAGAAACAGAAGGAAGGTGTTCCAGGCCAGCTGTCATGTAAGTACTAAAAAAAAATCTATCAACTCCTAAGTGATTCCTGAATATGTTAAATGTGAGGTTGGTTGCCCTTGAAACATCTAGTATCTTTGTGTGGCCTTTATGGAAAAGTGCATTAGCCATAATCATCACATTTCCCTATATTGACTTTATGTGAATTTAATTTAAATGTAAAATTAGTTGCGGTCCTTGTGGGTAGGCATTCCCACCCAACATATCACAATGAGGACAGAGAGTCAGGAAAAAAAAACTATTCATTTTTTGCAATAAACATTAATAAAGAAGTTGGGGTTTAAACTGCAAGGCCTTTGGTTGCTAACTTGATTTATTTGTCACCCCTGCCCTGCAAATATTCTTATACCAAAATCTAAAGTTATCTCCCTCTTGAAAGGGCCTGGGGTTTGGTTCAACATTTTGATTCACAATTTTCAGACAAATCAGTCCTTTAGCATAAATAACTGAAAGATTTAGTGGACATCTGTCCATGCACCTCCTTTTATGAAATCAGTTGGGAATAAGAGGTCCTTGAGGGTAACTGATGGGAGAGGCTCTGCCCCCTTGAAAACTGAGTGTGATGCCAATTGTAGAGAATTGCTTTCTTTCCAGCTTGTGATTAAAATATGCATGTGTATGTCTCTTCTGCAGATTTATTACACATAAGAATCGTCGGATATGTGCAGATCCCAGTGAACAATGGGTCCAAGATCGTATACAATATTTGTCCCAAAAGTGACAACCTCCCAGCTCCTTCATATTCACCTGGAGAAGCCCCAAGAACTCAAACCTTTTAAAGTGCTTCGGATGTGGAAAAAAAGAACATGCGTGGCTCTTATTCTGACTTTGAACACTCCTTACTTAAAACTTCATTGATGGAAGATGAAATAATGTATTTTATTTAAATTATGGACAAATATGTTATGTATTTGATATTATTATTTTTGAAAAGAAAAAGTTCATTTGTCTAAAGGTTCTGAGAAATATTTGACAGAAATATAATGTATGAATAAATCTCCATAAATGTCTCTGATTGTCTATATTTGAAATCTTTTCCGAGAGCTCCTTCAGGTTACACAACAATTCTTATTTCATTGAAAGATTGACCTGGACTGTCTGGGTTCTGGCTCTTCTCCTACCCTGGGAATGGGGATTCTTGGACTGTCCATCTGCTCCTGAACCACCATTCACAACATCCCTCCTTTTCAGACCTCAAAGACTGATGTCAATCTTGCAAGGTAGACTAGACAGGAAACAAAGTGAGATGAACTAATTTTACTTTATTGTAAGATTCTATTAACAGAATCTTGAAAATCTGAAAGTATCTTTCTCTCCCATTCCCTTATACAGTCTAAGGAACTAGGGATGGCCCCTCCTGAGTCCCTTGCCCTACTCATATTCCTGCTGTAGGCTAAATTGCCTGTTATCTGCCTCTGTTTGCCCTGACTCTGAAGGTCATTCCCACACAGACCATTATACCCTCCGTTGACTCTGCTGCTGGTGTACTGGAATGTATGAGACAGGGAAGTAGCAGCATGCAAAGTGGAGATACTCTGTATTCAGAGTAAAGCCTTCAAAAGCAACGTGGAAGCAGGAGTGAAAGCTGTTGAGGTAATTCCCCGTTAGAAGAATGAGTGCATACAGGGAGACGTATTTGAGAGTAGTGTTTGAATAATACACACACACAGCACACAGATACACTGTACAGTAAATGTCGGTTTTTTACTTCCAGAAAGTTTAAGCAAAGTTCAAAATAAGCAATCCAAAAGTCATTCACAGGTAAATCAGTCAGTTTTCAATCCAGAGATAATCCAATTAGAAAGTCCAGTGTCAAAAACAGTTCAGTATCAGACTTACATCAAATCCAGTAATATCAGTCAATTAGAAGGAATGTCAATACTCTCCAACAGAAGGAAAAACAGAGACTTACCCAGACACACTCTCTTCTGAGACTAAGACTAAGACAAAACAACCCAGATTTCTGGCTCCATCTTATGGCAGTTTGAGAAACCACACCCAATTACAGTTTTTTGCATTTTCTTAAAGATACAGTTTTAAAATGTTTATCCTGGTTTATATATTTCTAACCCAAATACCTCTTAGGTGACTTATATTC